TTAATATAATAATAAAAGTGTTTATATGATCCTGACAACATGAATGATGTATAGCTCCAAAACAAATCATATAATTAATATAATAATAAAAGTGTTTATATGATCCTGACAACATGAATGATTCATAGCTCCAAAACAAATCATATAATTAATATAATAATAAAAGTGTTTATACGATCCTGACAACATGAATTATTCATAGCTCCAAAACAAATCATATAATTAGTATAATAATAAAAGTGTTTATACGATCCTGACAACATGAATTATTCATAGCTCCAGAAACAAATCATATAATTAATATAATAATAAAAGTGTTTATATGATCCTGACAACATGAATGATTCATAGCTCCAGAAACAAATCATATAATTATTATAATAATAAAAGTGTTTATATGATCCTGACAACATGAATGATTCATAGCTCCAAAACAAATCATATAATTAATATAATAATAAAAGTGTTAAAACGTTCACTTAATGCTATAATGAGTATTTGTTAGTGATGACTTATCCAAAAATTAATCTTGAGGATTTTAATTATCTTTATCGGGTGATTAATTGTTTTTAAAATTACACAGAAATTTGTTTTCTAAAAACATTTCTACTTTTCATAAGTTCAGAAAAGTATTTGTCAAGTTTTATACAATGATCTAAGTCTAGTGTGTTTTCCTTATACGATGAATAGTGAATTGTTAAAAAAAAGATAAAGATGTGCGAGACTGTCTAGTTTCCAACTAAGACCCGTCTTGTTCTAAAAATTGTGTAACACTGTCCAGTTTTCCAACTAAGACCCGTCTAGTTCTAGAATTTGTGTGAGGTTATCTAGTTTCCAACTAAGACCCGTCTAGTTCTAGAATTTGTGTGATGTCCTCTAGTTTTCCAACTAAGACCCGTCTAGTTCTAGAAATTGTGTGACACTGTCTAGTTTTCCAACTAAGACCCGTCTAGTTCTAGAATTTGTGTGAGGTTGTCTAGTTTTCCAACTAAGACCCGTCTAGTTCTAGAAATTGTGTGACACTGTCTAGTTTCCAACTAAGACCCGTCTTGTTCTAAAAATTGTGTAACACTGTCCAGTTTTCCAACTAAGACCCGTCTAGTTCTAGAATTTGTGTGAGGTTGTCTAGTTTTCCAACTAAGACCCGTCTAGTTCTAGAATTTGTGTGATGTTGTCTAGTTTTCCAACTAAGACCCGTCTAGTTCTAGAAATTGTGTGAGGTTGTCTAGTTTTCCAACTAAGACCCATCTAGTTCTAAAATTTGTGTGAGACTGTCCAGCTTTCCAACAGCATTTAGGTTTAGCAGATTATTCAAAGGTATTGAAGAATTAATTCCAATTTAGGCTCCGTTCTTCACATATGTTCTTTACAATACAAGATCTATGTTATCCAGTTTAGCAGATAGCTCAATACATGCAGCGTTACAAAACTCAAATATTGGAGTCTATAACAATATAATCACGGGAATAAATGTATCGATCGTCAACTAGAAGTTATAATATCGAAATGATAACTATAGGTAAATATAACACTATGCATGTTTGTAATACGTATGATAACTATCGTATAGGTAAAAATAACACAACCGATGTTTGTAAACATGTCTTCCTGAGTTGTTATTTATAAACTTTTTTTCTTTTGTAAAAATATTGAAGACTGTAATGATGATTTAGAAACCCCAAAACTAACAAAGGAGTAAGTTTTATTGTTTACTATTTCTCAATCCTGGAATCAACACATCACACTTATGGCAAAAGACAATTTGGTCAAACGGAGTAAGGTTTATTGTTTAGTATTTCTCAGTCCTAGAATCAACACATCATACTTATGGCAAAACACTATTTGGTCAAACGGAGTAAGGTTTATTGTTTAGTATTTCTCAATCTGGAATCAACACATCATACTTATGGCAAAACACTATTTGGTCAAACGGAGTAAGGTTTATTGTTTAGTATTTCTCAATCTGGAATCAACACATCATACTTATGGCAAAACACTATTTGGTCAAACGGAGTACGTTTTATTGTTTAGTATTTCTCAATCCTGGAATCAACACATCATACTTATGGCAAAACACTATTTAGTCAGACGTAGTAAGTTTTATTGTTTAGTATTTCTCAATCCTGGAATCAACAAATCATACTTATGGCAAAACACTATTTAGTCAGACGTAGTAAGGTTTATTGTTTAGTATTTCGCAATCCTGGAATCAACACATCATACTTATGGCAAAACACTATTTGGTCACACGCCTTAATAGCGTTGAGAAAACTGAGAGTTACACGAATGGTAAAACGAATATAGTCGCCCACTTAAGTAAAACGCCAAAGTGTAGTGTCAAATCCGAGATGTTATATGTGAATTATGGTGCGGTAAACATTAAACACTGCGTCTAATCGTCACCGCGTCAGTGTATTTTCATGCAGTAGTAACAATCCAAGAAAAGAAACATGAAATTTTTTGTTACTTACCGGTCGATAATCACTGGATCTGAGGGGGTCTCATTTCTGTTTCCACAGCTCTTCTTGTCACAACAGCGGCTGCACGAATGGAACAAAAACAACCAATAGGCATACACACAAAAACTCTCTATCCGCAGAGCACACATTTTCAAAGCATTTGATAAAGATAACGTACAAGTACTCGTATGCATTTGTTATTTCTACATGTTTTTTACATTGAAAGTTTGACATTTATTTTGTTACAGACACAAAGTATCTTGGATGCGCTAAGAAAACCCTAAAGTTTTAACATTTGGTGGCCTGTCTATGATAAAATTGAATAAAACCTTCAAATAAGAAAGTTGTAAAATATTTTACAAATAAAAATAATGTCAAATATATATATATATATACAAAATAACTACAGTAAACTTTACCTAGGTAAATACGTAGTTTAATTACACTACGTATGTGACTATGTAGAGCCATATAATTTATTTACCTAGGTAAATACGTAGTTTAATTACACTACGTGTGTGACTATGTAGAGCCATATAATTTATTTACCTAGGTAAATACGTAGTTTAATTACACTACGTGTGTGACTATGTAGAGCCATATCATTTATTTACCTAGGTAAATAAGTAGTTTAATTACACTACGTGTGTGACTATGTATAGCCATATAATTTATTTACCTAGGTAAATACGTAGTTTAATTACACTACGTGTGTGACTATGTAGAGCCATATCATTTATTTACCTAGGTAAATACGTAGTTTAATTACACTACGTGTGTAACTATGTATAGCCATATCATTTGCAGAGAATGAACATTCAGTCCACTACTAGGTCAAAGGTCTAAGATCTTATAATGCTAAAAATCGGGCTACAATTCTCGCGTTGAGCACAGCAAAGATAACCAATCCACTGTCTAACTCAAGAGACCTGCGCAGTGTCACAATATTAATTGGAGTAGGTGGATGTGATATTTTAGTTTAATGTACAGTATCGTTATACGCTTCCTTTTATCTAATAAATTGTAAAGCAGAATATAATTCAAAGTTTTTATGCACCAAGCAGATGAAAAACTATCCCTTAAAGCTACAATTATATCCCCCTTACAAATAACAACGTTCAACATGGAGTAAATATATCACCCCCTTACAAATAACAATGTTCAACATGGAGTAAATATATCCTCCTCCTTAACAAACAGAAACGTTCAGCATGGAGTAAATATATACCCCCCCCTTACAAATAACAACGTTCAACATGGAGTAAATATATCCTCCTCCTTAACAAACGGCAACGTTCAGCATGGAGTAAATATATACCCCTTCCTAACAAACAGCAACGTTCAGCATGGAGTAAATATATACCCCTCCCTAACAAACAGCAACGTTCAGCATGGAGTAAATATATACCCTCCCTAACAAATAGCAACGTTCAGCATGGAGTAAATATATCCCCCTTCCTCACAAACGGCAACGTTCAACATGGAGTAACAAGGACGACATATCGGGGAATAAAAAAACATTTGCCAAAAAATACCTTTGTTGGGGTTTAAACCGACCATCTCCATTGAGGACCTATTAATGGCGTCAGTCCATCTACTAACTTAACAAAATACCCTTGTTGGGGTTTAAACCGACCATCTCCATTGAGGACCTATTAATGGCGTCAGTCCATCTACTAACTTAACAAAATGCCTTTGTTGGGGTTTAAACCGTCCGTCTGTATTGAGGACGTTTAATCACGTAAATCCATCTAAGGACTCAAATCAAAGTAGATTACTTTAGAATAAGTTATAAATAACGAAAGCTGAACATAGAATATGTGGAAGAAAAGTATGTCTACAGTACTTCCCTTATTTTTCTGGGTGATTGTTTGCAACAAAAGATGTACAGATAAAGTTTCAAAGGGAAGTTTGTTTGCAATTTTTTTCCTGTTTGGGTGTTGCTGTTTTTAGGTGAGAATTATGCAACTTATATTCGAAAGGAAAGTTATTCTGTAATTCGTCCTTATCCGACAGTTAACTTTTCTTATCTATTGGGTGTTATGTTAAGAATTTTCAACATCAAGAGATAAAATGTTTACACTACATTTAAAGTCTGTCCTGCTTAAAACTGTTAGGTAAAAGGATATATACATAAATGTATTCAAATCACACAGAATGAAAACAAAACATTTACAAATTGTAGAACAGCTACGAAGAAGTATAAACTTGGAGGAAAATAATTGTGCAAGACGTCCCCAAAAGATGTCCGAACTTCGTAATATTAGCTGATTTATATTAAGCTGGAAAAACATCTATTGTGGCTGTCACACATATATATTGGAGTTCTAGTGCATATAACAAATTGGAGTGCTAGTACATATGTAAGAAACTGATGGTAGTCAACTTCTTAAGGGGTCTATCCTGTGTGGTTATAACACACTCATATATTAGAGTGCTAGTACATATATAGAAAACTGATGATAGTCAGCCTGTTAAGAGGTCTATCCTGTGTGATTATAACACACATATTTTGATGTGCCAGTGCATATAACAAGCTGATGGTTGTCAGAATTTTAATGGGTCTAACCGGTGTAGTTATCAGATGGTAGACAGTTTGTTAAAGGGCCTATCCTGTGTGATTATAACACACATAAATTGAAGTACCAGGGCATATAACTAACTGATTGTAGTCAGCCTGCTAAGGGTCTATCCTCCGTATTTATAACACACATATATTGTACTGCCAGAGAATATAGTCAGCTTCTTAAAGAGTTTATCCTGTATAGTTATAACAAAAATATATTGGAGTACCAGTGCATATAACAAACTGCTGGTTGTCAGCCATTTAAGGGGTCTATCCTGTGCGGTTATAACACACATATATTGGAGTACCAGGGTATATAACTAAATAATAGTAGTCTACCTGCTAAGGGGTCTGTTCTTTGTGGTTATAACATACATAAATTGGTGTGTTAGATCATATAACAAATTGATAGTAGCCAGCCTGCTAAGGGGTCTACCTTTGTGGTTATAATACACATAAATGGGAGTGTTAGATCATATAACAAATTCATAGTAGCCAGCCTGCTTAGGGGTCTATCTTTGTGGTTATAATACACATAAATGGGAGTGTCAGTACATATCAAAATGATAGTAGTCAGCTTGTTAAGGGTTCTATCTTTGTGGTTATAACACACGTAAATTGGATTGTCAGTACATATAACAAACTGATAGTAGTCAAGTTGTTAAGGAGTCTATCTTTGTGGTTATAATACTTAGCAAGAAGGCTCTCTTTCTAACAATATATTATGTCTCTAAAGTTATTTAGTTTCTTCACAGACTAAAGTAAGTCCTTGAAGTTATCATGTATTATCAATTTTAAAATGATTAAGAAATGTGATTTAAAAAAATAAAATAAACGAAGCTACAAAAAAAATTTAACCCAGAGTTATAGAAAGGGTTATTTATATCATAATTTTCAATCTTTTATTTGTTTTTGAGACTTAAGCTGAAGTTTTATGTATATATATATGTGTGTGTGTGTGTGTGCGTGTATTTAAAGGCCTATTTGTTTTTTTGGATACATAAGAATGAATGTTCTGGTTTTCACAGTTTACTACATTATCACATATTTTACACGAAGATTCAAAGGTGTTGTCTGAAAAAATACAAATAATAAAGATATTAAATGTCGTGCAATTTACGTCGTTGTGGATGTCAAAAGGCAGACAGTTGTCGGCAGATAGGGATTGGAACAAAGGAAATTAAGGATGGCATCTAAAAAAGGATGAAACCACATGTAACAATTAAAACAATTAAAATATTGCCATGAAATCAAAAGCTAACAATTAAAGTAACGAAACTAAAAGAATCAAAGACAGCAACTAAAGTCCTGAATCAAGGACTACAATTAAGGCATGAAAAACGACATAATACGCATACTAAGCAGAAGAGAATGAAGGGTAACAATTAAGGGCCTCAAGAAGAAGAAGACAAGCAATATATATTGAAAAGAAGAGAATAGTTAGTACTGATACTGAATATATAATCAAAGTATCGAATCGAAAAACAAAGTACGTAGGTTAAAATTAAACTATTGAAGCAGAAGTACGGAGGTTAAAATTAAACTATTGAAACAGAAGTACGGAGGCTAGAAATTGAACCACAAATAACAATAAAAATTATTTGAAAATTTGCGAAAAGGAAATGAATTAATTTTTTTGCATGTAATGTTACTACTCATTTTGAAGTTGAATTTTGTAATAACACTTTTAAATTAATAACTACTTATAAAACAAGGTCATTTTGGATCGCATCAGTGTTACTAAGCAATGAAATGCATAGTGTTTGCTCTGATAAACTTTTCACAACATTTTCATCCACAAGATCATCTTTGCAAGTGAAATCTTTACACAAATGTTTCGGACAGGTTACGAACAAGCTGCCCCCTCCCACTCTCCCCGGTAGCTAAGCGGTAAGTCTGAGGCTTATTAAAATCAGATCAGTTTCGATACCTGATAATGGTACAGCACAGATAGCTTTGTGTTTAACCAGAAACAAACAATTAAGTAAAAATACTGCCACGTTCGCTATATTCTGGAGAGATATATATAGATTAGATATAAACACGTATAACTAACTTTCCTGTTTTAGTTAGATATTAGATTTGTTTTTTCGAAAAATGCCATACAATATAATGCTGTAGCTTTTGTTGATCAGAGAATGTTCATTGGACAAAAGTGTCCCAATAAACTATATATATAGAACAATTCTATTACCATTTTAAAATCTGATTGGCTAGTTTTTCAAATGTGAAAGTAATTTCGGCACAACACGTGCGTTAACGTAGAATATTGTAGTAATGAGCTGGAATAGAATTACTGCTATTGTACAGCTTAAACAAGTGACACAAACCTCAAACAGAAGCAATATCACTTAATTAAACGGTTTTGTTATCCTTTCTGTGCTCTTTGTAACGACAGATTCACGAAGCTGGTAGTTTAATACAGATAAAAGTTACAGGTACGTCAGAAAAGCAGTTCAATTCCACACTCACTCATGTTATGTAATCCTTGATTAAAATTGTTCCTTACGTCTTACCTGCAGATGACTTCGTGGGTAAGGAGGACTCGTCGCATCTCTGGGTTTTTATCTTGTCCCTCGTAGACGACAGCCTGAGAAATACAGACACAAACAAACAAACATCACTTACCTACACATGATCTCGTGCGTAAGAAGAACTCGGCACATTTCAGGATTTTTGTCCTGTCCCTCATAGACGATAGCCTATAAGGAATTTAAACAGGACAAATATGTATTGCGGGGTTTTACTGGGGGAAGAAGAAGGAGCAGGACCTTAATTTCTATATACGGGTGCCTAGATGACCAAACATTAGGGTTTCAACTCTTTGACCAGACATTAGGGTTTCAACTCTTTGAAAAACAAAATAATAATAATAAAAAAACTTGAGTGTAAAAGTGACAACCATTAGTGAAAACGTGTAGCTTTTGTAGTGTGATTTAAACCATTGGTTGTACCAAGAACCAAGCTAATGTAATAAAGTAGTGTTCTTCTACCAGTTGCTGTTTCCTAGCTCCGTAAGCCTTACTTATCTTATCTTATGCAATACTTATCTTTGTTTCTCTAGAATCGTAACGCAGTGACGTCGTATTGCTTTCTTACAATACTTATCCTGTTTTTCTCTAGAATCGTAACGCAGTGACGTCGTATTGCTTTCTTACAATACTTATCCTGTTTTTCTCTAGAATCGTAACGCAGTGACGTCGTATTGTCTTGTTACAATATTTATCATATTTTACCCTAGAATCGTAACGCAATGATATCGTATTGTTTTGCTACAATGCTTATCCTATTTTCCCCTAGAATCGTAACGCAATGACATCGCATTGTTTTGTTACAATATTTATCCTATTTCCCCTAGAATCGTAACGCAATGATATCGTATTGTTTTGCTACAATACTTATTATGTTTGTTATCTAGATTCGTCACAGTGACATCGTATTATTTTGTTACAATACTTATCCTGTTTTGTTATCTATATTCGTCAAGCAACGTTTCCTAGGTTCAGTCAACAGTATCGTGAGTTTTCTGGTTTTTGTTCGACAATGCTTATGACTTCAGTTTCCTAAGTTTGCCAGAGCAACGATGTTATAGAGTTTGCTGCAAAAGCGTGTCGTAGAGGCGTCTATGTTGTAAGTTTTCTTGCTAAACTTATCGTGAATGTTTCTATATTGTAAGTTTTCTTGGTAAACTTATCGTGAATGTTTTTATCTAGTAAGTTCAGTTGCTAAACTTATAGTGAATGTTTATTTATTGTAAGGTTTGCTGAAAAGCTTTTTGTGGATGTTTCTATAGAGTAAGTTCAGTTGCTAAACTTATAGTGAATGTTTCTATATTGTAAGTTTTCCTGCAAAACTTATCGTGAATGTTTTTATCTAGTAAGTTTTCTTGCTAAACTTATAGTGAATGTTTATTTATTGTAAGGTTTGCTGAAAAGCTTTTTGTGGATGTTTCTATATAGTAAGTTTAGTTGTAAAATCTGTCGTGGATGTTTCTATATAGTAAGTTTATCAGCAAAACTTATCGTGGATGTATCTATATAGTAAGTTCAGTTGCTCAGCTTATCGTGGATGTTTCTAAAGATCGACATACATTAACACTACAACTTCTGTTGCAGTGTATATGATGCCTGTGTCTTATAGATTCGTCACATCAATAGCCTCGAGAGTTTGTTACAAAACTACGATGTCAACAAATTCAGTTATACGAATTCATTACTTTTCAGAGCGACTTATTTCTCTCTGACCTCAACGTAACTGTACAATATTGTATGTGTTTTAGAAATATGATAAAATACAACGTTATTAGCGTTCATGACAACCAGAAGTTATATCTAATTTATTCTGATAAATTAGATATAAGATAAAATTAATAGCAAGTAAAAGTTCATAAACCTTCATTCTATAGTTAGTTTAGAAGTCACATTAATTTACATTTTTTATAGTTTTACACAAACCACGATCATATAAATATTTTTATTGTTCAGTAATGAAGCTGCTTATGTTTTAGAAGAAAAGAAAATACTAGAACCTAATATAAGTAAAACTAGGTGAAAAACTGACAAATAGAATGAAATAAAAACCAGGAATGAGAAGAGTCAAAGTTTGTTTTAGCCAATCTATCTAATTTTTAATATTTTAATTTTTAACAGAAATTTACATTATGAAACATTTAGAATTATCCTTAATAATCATAAAAAAAACACTTCCGTTAGTTATGGAAATGATTTCCATTAACTTCAAGTTGTGAATATTGTTTTTTTAACGCGTAAGGAAAAATTCCTTTGAGTAAACAGACGTTTTGTGATCAATAGAATATTTACATAAATAACCAAAAAACTGATTAAACAGTTTCCAACTTATTATATGTTAGTTTTTATTTATATATGTGCACTAAATAAATTTGCTTGTTAAACATATTAATGTATCTAATCTATATTTGCTGGAAGTTTTCTTTCAATTGCTACGAAAGAGATGCAGATCAGGTGGTTTAATTGAACAGTTATCAGATCGTTTTGATTCTTATTTTATCAAAGGATAATTTGTTATCTTTTCTTGAATTCCCAGATAGTTATTCCTGAATGCTTAGGTAATATATATGATTAGTAGGACTTACTGCAATGTAAGTAAAGCAACTTGAAAAACTATCACATCAAAAAAATTCTATCAATTTTTCAGGCACAATGATATGTCTGCAGCGCTAGAAACTTGTTTTCGATACCCGTGACGGACAGAGCACAGATAACCCTTTGGAATTATGTACAAACACACAGTCGTTTATATGTAACTAGTCGCCACAATACAACTGTTTTCTAGAAAAAATATATAAGACTCGGCTTTTTTTTTTCAAATTCCAGCAATAACACGTGTAGCAAACACAGAACTGTTCATATTTATTAGCACACGTAAACTAACTTCACTGCTTTCCGGATAATTAACAGGGAGACAATACGCGCGAAAGTGTGGATAAACCAAAAGTCGTCATTACTAAGTTTCTATCACTTACAAATCCTTTCAAAGCGCTACATAGATTGAAACTATATTTTTTAAAAAGATTTTCAATACAAGGTTAAATTATCTTTCTAATTTGCGGTAACTAAATGTTATCCCCGGTTTTAATGATGAATTCTTGTTCTTAAGCCTTACTAATTGAGAGGAACTATTCGGAAACTGCCAGAAACAGTTTGCTTTATCCAACAAAAGTAGAACACACTAGTAGGACACAATGTGGCACATTCACAAACACCCCTTCATCTCCTCCCCTATATCTATCGTTTTCTGTGTTAAGCCTTTCGCGACTCGTCTCAGGGGAGATGCAAATCACTGCATTGTATCAATAGAAGAAACCACGTCGACAGAAGCACCAAGACCTTGTTAAAAACGTATGTGTATTGAACTTGTATGTGTGTGTTTTACCTCATTCCGAAGCGAGGGTTTTGGTTGAGATCGCTTAATACTTTTTTTTCGGAGTTTAGTTTATCAAACACTAGAATACACACACACACATATATTTCTACATACATAATTAGGTAAGAACCCGTCATACATAGTTCCACACTAAACAGGCCTCCACTGCTTAGTTTTGTATTCACATCGATCAGAAACCTCGTGTAATTCACAAAGCTAAGTAATTGTGGCATCGTATACATAGAGTTATTGTCATGTACAAAGCAGTATACTGTGATACTCTAGAAGTGTAATGACATTATCACTAATTCCTAGGCTGTAATTATTTAATCAAATATTTATCATATATGTATAGAAACGAAATATGCGGTATTTAGTAAAATAGGCGTATTTTATAACTAACATAAATTATCAACGCACGTGGTCCATCGCCCTTCGTACTGACAAATACGGACCTTTCTTCCAAAACCACCTAAACTGTTTATGTCACTCGAAGGAGAAAATAACCCGAGTATCGAATAATAAACGTGATAGTATAAAACTTATAAATAACCCGAGTACCGAATAATGAACGTGATAGTATAAAACTTATAAATAACCCGAGTACCGAATAATGAACGTGATAGTATAAAACTTATAAATAACCCGAGTACCGAATAATAAACGTGATAGTATAAAACATAAAAATAACCCGAGTAGCGAATAATCAACGTGATAGTATAAAACATAAAAATAACCCGAGTAAGGAATAATCAACGTGATAGTATAAAACATAAAAATAACCCGAGTAAGGAATAATCAACGTGATAGTATAAAACTTATAAATAACCCGAGTAAAGAATAATCAACATGATAGTATAAAACATAAAAATAACCCGAGTAAGGAATAATCAACGTGATAGTATAAAACTTATAAATAACCCGAGTAAAGAATAATCAACGTGATAGTATAAAACTTATAAATAACCCGAGTACTGAATAAGGATATTTATTGAACTACTCTGTTTCATGGTGTGGTTCATGTTACTGGAACTGTATACTGAACTAGTCTATTTCATGTTATGTAAGGATGTTTACTGAACTAGTCTATTTCATGTTATGTAAGGCTGTTTACTGAACTAGTCTATTTCATGTTATGTAAGGCTGTTTACTGAACTA